TACTCCCTGCCGGGTGGGAGTATATTGTCGTGTTCCACAATTTTTGTAACATATTGTTCTTACACACTAAATTGCGTTACATATGTATTATTGACAAGATCCAGATATCAGTGTTTCCTAAGCGATTTGATACTATTGTCTGACTGCTGCTTAGGCACAGTGCTCCTAATTAACTTAATTCTATATCTAATTCTATGCATACACAAATCCTACACATAAATATAATTTACGGTTTACAGAATTAACTATAAGCTAAAAGACATACGTAAAGTGAAGATAGGCATGAAATTAAATTAAAACATGCATGCGTGAGTTACAGATAATATTATGTATATATATGTGTTCATTGACTAACTAATTAGGTTTACAAATTATAAATACCGCAACATTTCTTTTTTTTTTTTTTATACTGGTACATTAAGATTAACGAAACAAACATCCTATCTAACATCTAACGTCATCTGTCTTCTGAGTTGCAATGCATTCGCGCGATATGCTAACTTAACTGATTTCGGATAAAACTATATTTATTAATCCTGAACTCAACTCAACGTGCCCACTCACAAAACCATCTGTCGGGGAGTGGAGTCAACGGTGATTTGGCCCGTTCCTTTGTAGTTGCAAAAGCCTAGTAGTGAGTTATAAGAGAGGCTTAAATAAATAGTACAAATTGTAAAAAAAAAAATTGGTATAATGTTAAGAGGTCGTGTATGAAGTTAATCATTGGAATATGCTTGGTGAATTGTAAGTATCTTTTTTTTATCGTGGGGAAATGCCTTTCGCATACCATCTTTGCGGGGACAAAGGTGGTTATGTCGGGCTTGCACCGACTAAAACCCCACGGTGGTCGCCACCGGCGCTAACAAGGGGGGAGGCGGGATCTCCGTACGGAACACAACCGCCACCCTCCAACGCCTAGCTAGGCCTTTTGAGTCCAGCTCCGTCGTACTCTTAGGTTCGACCACCTTCTCAGGGCCGCTTGAGCGTTCAGGACCCCACCCTGAACGCTCACAACCCAAGAACAACCTTTATAGGGGAAACATAACTACCGGGTTGACCGGGGGAGAAGCACAGCTGCTCCGCGATGTCGTCGTCGCCGGGTGGGATCGGACCTTTCACGCGATCGCTCCGCAGTCTCCTTCGTGAGCATCGCGAATTCGCAGAAGGAGACTACAGCCCTCCACTCTGTGTCACCCCTCAACATCGCAGACATGACTGCTGCTAGAGACAGGTCTTCGCCAATCCGTTGTCTCAAGACTTGCCGCTCCAATTCCCACGCTGGACATACCGCAAGAGTGTGTGAGGCGGAATCTTGCTCCTCCACAAGACAGTGGAAACATATTGCCGTTTCCTCACGTCCGATTTTATGAAGATAGTCTCCAAAACAGCCATGCCCGGTGATTATCTGCGTCAGTCGGAAGGTGAGGCTTCCATGCCGTCGCTGCATCCAGGCATCGAAGACCGGCAGCACTGCTTCGACGACACGTTTGTGCGCAGTTCGCTCATCAGCGAGCCTTGTGCGCCATGTCTCCAATGCTCTTTGCCGTTCTTCCCGCTTAACCGTCTCGAGTGTCTCTCCCGGGATGCCCCTACCCATGCGAAGGATGCAAAATCGGTAATACACCCTTGCATCCATTTCGGCCAAGATATCAATGGGGGGAAGCGTGCCAAGATTGTTGCCGCCTCAAATGAGATTGTCCGGTAACCTCGAACAACACGTATCGCTATTCTCCGTTGAACGCTATACATCTCCGGTCTACAGCGGCGGAGCGCCAGCCTCTTAGCCCAAACCGGCGATCCATACAAAGATACAGAACGTACAATCCCCGCATAAAGTCGCCGTACTTCCTCACCCGGACCACCGAGATTTGGCAACAACAGCAATTGTAAGTATCTACATAGCTCCATCTGTCGACTACTTAACCTTTTGATTCTCCTCGTTGACCATAAGGGACGCGCTACATCCGAGAACGTCTATCTATCTATCTATCTATCTATCTATCTATCTATCTATCTATCTATCTATCTATCTATCTA